TCCGTCATCATCTACGTTACTGACAAAATGGTTTGCTAGAGGATAGAATGTACTTGAGAATAGGATTAGAATTCCAGTATAGCCTTCTGATAGCTATCATCTTAAGACAGAAACCGATTAGTCGTTTCAAACTGTCAACACTTGTCAGTGGGCACAACACATTCCTTTGCAGTTCATGGCTATAAGTCTTGGACACAATAAGCTTCCAAACGGCCATAAATTATTCAAATCTCTTGGTACTAAAAAAATATTTTCCAGATGAGCTGTCGATGATGCGGTGATTGCAAAGCATTACATTGCTGAGCCACTTACCGTTGACTTTATTCTAACTCTCGTTAACAACATCTCACCCTTAATTCATTTCCTTCAGATTCTCCAATCAACGGACAGCACAACAAATTCTATACTGTCCTCGGCATCACCATCATCTTCACCGTCGCTATCAAAAAGAAGTCGATTAAAGTCCAATTTTTGCTCTACTGACATGATTACAGACAAAATTCAAATTGTGATGTGTAAACTTGTTTCAAAACAATCTGCAACTTCTGATATTTGGATATTACCGACCCCAGGGATCCCCTCACATGAGGGATCTCGAGCCGGTTAGTCACGAGGCTACGTGGCGCGTTCCCAGGTGGCGGATAGAGGTTAATCGCGTACCAAAAGCGACCTTTGCTTCCCAGAGACGCAGGCGGATCCAGGGGATGAACTCACCGTTTCTGCTGCGCTGATTTGGCACATACCTTCTATATTTGCTAGGCATATTCATGCATGTGTGTCTGGGTGCGTTCTTGCTTATGCGCATTGTATTCAACGAGTCAATTCGGCCAAAAACCTGCAATCAAGTGACTGGGAAGTTTATGGGAGGCAGTTAGGAGTCGCCTACAACAAATAAGCTCCATGTACACTCTGGGAAATACTGGCAAGCTACCCGTGAGTATACCCAGCCCCCACGTTCAGAGCTCAGCAAGCTATACGTGGGTGTCAAAATACTTAACACAGTTGAAAAAACGGGTCTCATTCCCCTGACCCCGAAAGAGCCCCCAATTTCGCAGCGTTGGGTGGGACGAGTACGGAGAGGCTTCTAGCTTCTATAATCTCAGGGCCAATAGAAGCTGCCCGAATTTCAAAAAACTATGCTAACAGTCTGTACCTACAATGCACGTACACCTGCATCCGAGTCCTCTATAGAAGACTTGCTCATGCAAGCAAAAAGGATAAAGAACGGCGTCATCGGCCTGGCCGAAACGAGACGTTGCCACCCACTCAACGCCGCCTATGACACCGGAGAAGAACTATTCCTCGGAACATGCGACAGTAGAGGAGTCGGCGGCGTCGGCGTTCTCGTCAACACGAGTTTGCCCATGAACATCGATTCATTGGAACAACTTACGACACGAATCGGACGCTTACGATTAAGAAGACGTGGATCAAATCCGGCTTTGACGATCTTCGCCGTTTACACGCCGACATCAAACTATGACGAAAAAGTCGAAGCGTTCTATATGGAGTTGGAGAAATTCTACAGAGAAGACCACACATACTTCCAGGTCACCATTGGAGATCTCAACGCCAAGATTGAAATAGGAAGAACGTCTGAAGAACGTTTGAGTTTATCATGGCAACCAAGATAATCCATGGTAACTCGCAGTACCAGAAGCCCCACCCTCAGCGCTGGACGTTGGAGTCTCCCAGTGGAGAATACCATAACGAAATAGATCACATCATAGTAAATAGAAGGTTTTGCCTAACCGATGTCGCTGCTGTCCCAAAATTCTACATGGGATCAGGCCATCGTCTCTTTTGTGCAAGATTCTATTCCTCGCGGAAAGGAGGAAAAGCCGCTATATCCTAAAACCGAAGTCTCAGAGCCACCGCAAACTTTGACTTATTCAATTCACTAGTCGGTTGTTGGGAAGATGTCGTTGTCGATAACATCGATGAGGAATACGATCGGCTCATTCAACATCTTCACGTTACGCTATGAAAGCTCAGAGTTCGAAAGTCGCAAGAGACGTCTGTCTCCAGAAACATTCGAGCAGATAGGCCAGCGTAGAATCGCACGAGCTTCAGGAAACCGCGTACTAACGTCCGAACTTGCAAAATAATGCAGACAGGTGATAAAAGAAGATCTTAAACAGAAAAGAGCAGCAGTAATGGTCGAAGCTGCAGAGGCTGCGAAAAGCATTCGCGAAGCCCGCCGAAGCTTCGCCAATTACAAGACCAAAATNCAATTACAAGACCAAAATGATTGCACTCCGGCGTCCAGACGGAACAGTTACAGCGTCTAGAAAGGCAATGGAGAAAATCATTCACGAACACTACTCAGATCTCTTCGATAGCCACGTCCACCTTCCGTCATACGAAATAAAGGAGGATGGATATGTTGTAACACCGGTTCTCCTTCCGAAATCCGATATGCCATTTCGTCGGTGAAAAATCGAACAGTACCAGGTCTGGATAGGATAAGACCAACGGATATGGATAAGACCAACACTTGAAGAACTTTCCGCCCGTCCTCGCAAACACACTCGCTCGACTCTTCGCACGTCGCCTGTCTGAATGCAAGGTCCGTACTCAGTGGAAGACCAGCAAGACCGTGTTATTGTTCAAGAAGGGTGACCAATACGATATCGGCAACTATCCCCCAATCTGCTTACTGTCCGTCGTCTACAAACTTTTCACTCGAGTCATCCTAAACAGGATTGACAGAACACTAAACGAAGGACAGCCATGTGAGCAAGCAGGGTTTCGAAAAGGATTCAGTACGATGGACCACATCCACACGGTAACAGGGCTCATTGAAGTATCGCGAGAGTACAAAATACCGCTCTGTCTCACTTTCATCGATTCACAGAAGGCCTTTGATTCAGTTGAGATAGAAGCAGTCTTGGAAGCCCTTGATAGTCAAGGAGTCCCTACTCAGTACATAAAGATGCTTTGTGAGCTGTACAAAAATTTTACAACCAAGGTATCACTATGCTACAACGACATTAGCACCGACGTCAAAAGAGGGGTTAGGCAGGCGATACTATCTCGTCAAAATTGTTTACCGCCACTCCTCCAGAACGTCATGCGAACATTGGAATTGGATAACACCGTAATGAAAATCAATGGTCGGCAGTTACACCATCTTCGCTTTGCTGATGACATCGTCCTTATAACACCAAACATTAGCCAAGCGGAACGTATGCTTGACGACTTTGATAAAGCTTGTGGAAAGATTGGACTTCGACTTAATCTCACAAAAACGATGTTCATGAAGAGCGGATTGGTTTCGCATGCTCCATTCACGCTCAACGTAACGAATATCTCCGAATGATCCAGTTATATGCAGCTAGGTCGGGAAATCAATATGATGGACGACTTAGCTCCAGAGCTGAGCAGAAGGAAGCGAGCAGCTTGGGGAGCTTTCAAGAGCATCGAGGACGTAGTGAAGAGAACACCCGACTCCGTGCCCACCTTTTCGACCCAACGGTATTTCCTGCCCTAACGTATGCGTCAGAAACCTGGTCGCTGCGTAAACAGGATGAGAAGTCACTCAGCGTTATCGAATGCGCAATCGAAAGGACGATACTAGGAGTGTCCCGTTCCACACAAGTAAGTGATGGGATCCAACGCTCCGATCTGCATCAACGATCAAAAATCAAAGATGCTGTTCTGTACGCCAAACAGTCGAAGATAAGGTGGGCCGGACACGTAATGCGTATGAATGACAAGCGATGGACAAGAGCCGTTAGTAATTGGATTCCTCATGATGTCAAACGTACTGCAAGAAGACCATCGACCTGATGGTCAGAGTTCTTCACGAAATGCCTCGAAGAAAGATATGATGCTCCCATGAGTCCCTAGCGCGAGCAGAACCCACTGTGCTACTCTTGCACGCGACAGTGAAAAATGGAAGATTTACTGGCGCCCGTCCAAGTCACTCGACGATCAACGGAACTACAGGTGATACAGGTGATACCAAACTCCTTTATAGAATCTCTATGTATGTAATTCCTCAAGCTCTCTAGTTATCAAAAAATTATCGAGAGCCACCTAAGAACCATTACTGTCTGTTACATGAAGCATAAAGGATAAAGGATGAAGCTCTCGGCGTTGATCAATTCCTGTAGGATGCGTCATGCAATCGACTTCATTAAGCATCGTTGGAAGTGATTGAATGCATATCTGGCCTTTACAATGACTAGCAGTGGCCCATTGATGTATCGAGCCAGTGCTGCTATCCCCCCAGACAAGACTGGTACCAATTGGCGGACGCCGCAGAGATGGAAGGCTTGGTGATCCACGGGCGCGGGAATCGATCCCATGTGTGTATTGCAGGACCTATCCTACAACTGCACTACGCCCACCAACATGCAGTATATAAAGTTCAATTTTTGATTAACAGCTATCTGAAATTGCCAAGATAAATGTGGTTGCACTGCGGAATAGGGCAGTATAAAAAGTATAGAATTACACTCAGTATGAGTACTAAAATTACTAAAATCCTCACAAATGCTAACAGCAATATGAGTTGGATGCTGAACGTTAGTAATATATAGGACTAGCTGAGAGACAGGCGAAACGAAAGACCTGCACGGTGTGGTGGTGAACTCGTTAGGCCCCGAAAGGGCAGCAGTGCGTTCGTTCCCCACCGCAGGCAGCTGCGGTCCGGTGTTTTGCAGATATCTCAGCATCGTTGTAGTTATATACATATATTAATCCATATATATACATATGTATATATACCTAAAACAATATGTTCTATAACTTTAAACTCTTCTATAACACCGTGACGTTCCCAACCTCTCAAGCCCTCTAGTTATCAAAAACTCATCGTTTATTGTCGAGCATACAGTGAGTCTACAGCGACGTGAGATTAGAAGTCATCCTACATGGTAACCTAGCAAATTTGAGAGTTAACGTCATGGTTAAACGATTGGCACACAGTCGACAGTGGCAGAAAATTAGCGTGGACAACATTGGCTCAAATGAATGCTCGGAAAAGGGACTTCCTATATTTTCGGCAATTGAAACACACCTATCCAGTCACCAGTGCCAACGATGAACATTCCATCGTTATCACATCCAGAGTAGGCACCGTTTTGATCGAGGACGAGACGAGTTCTAGGGAAGCTCTAATTTTTGTGATTTTTATTGATAGAAATGAATCTAAATGAATAGACTTACCGTCCTACAAGTTCTCCAGCGATTGGGGAGAAGATTAACGGTACCCTTTTCTCTCCTCCGTCTTCATCTTCCATCATTCGACATTCTATATCCCACCCGCGAACTCCATTGTACCTCCTGAGTTTAACAGCACTGGCACTGTATTCACAGGTGACCGGATCAGATATTCAAGGAAGAAACAACAGACTTATCAGACTTGAACGGCTCTCCAATAAGTTTATTCCTTAAGTTTGACTCACATATCTGCCCGGTGCACATACCTGCAAGTGGAGCTTCTGGGTGATCTTTTTAGGATAAAGGAAATTTTGTGAGTATTTTGATGTGTTTAAAAAATTTCCAAAAGTCCATGAATAAGTGGTAAACGTTCCTTACAATTCTGAAGATGATACGTTGGGTCGATGAGCTTTCCTTCGCGATAGAGTTTCATTTCGACATGAGGCTCTACTTTCCTCCGAGCACCATTCTCGTAACATTTTCTTGATAACAAATCATTATATGGATAGAGGTTACTATCATCACTACAGATCTGCCATTCATTACTCATCTTGCACGTCTACCACAGGGTTTTACTAATTTGTCAATCAGTGAGTGGTATGGAGACTTCTTAACTAAAAAAATAAATCAGTGCAAGTAATTTGAACGTCAAGTCTACTACAAAATTACTTTAAAAACCTTAGTGCACACCTATCAATAGCTTTTCCGAGTTCTTCGCCAGCTTTCACCTTACCACCGAAAAAGTCGAGTGTGATAGAGGAAATGTGAACAGCATACCCTAAAATAGCGAAAATCACGAAGCTTCACAACTTCTGTGGCATCGGAAATAGTCAAGAAACCTCTATGCTTACTACTGCACTTCACAGGTGTAGAGAAAACTCAGATTTCTTTCCCTATTTTACAGCAGTCACAAGATAAGAGTTCAAAATGACCAACTGCATTGAAAGGATTGCAAGTTTTTCCTCGACAACCTCCACTAACCCTGCCACTGCCCAGTGCCTTCGATTCGAACTCCGCTGTCAGCACAAGCCTTATTGGTAGCACCGCCAAATGGTCTCCAGAAGTACATCTCACCGTCAATCGGTGCGTAAACTGGTGCATTGTTCGGACAGCGAATGTCTACACCGTCCACAACCTCTCCATTCGACCTGAAAAATCGGAAATAGGCAACAAAAGAGAACAGCCGCAACATCAAGGCCTCGATGACTTCAGTATATGTGAATTCTCATTGGAAGAACTGTGGACATCGAATCGGAACATCGGCTCTGACAAAGATCTGATAAGGACAAAGGCGTCGAAACGTAGGCCGAATAACGTTTATTTATTAACCTCGTACTAGTTTTTCAACGAAAGAATACATGTTGATTACACACACCGAGGTTACGGGAAAGTCGGTTTTTAAAATATCGTTACGCTCTGTGCTAGCAGCTGATGCCCACCTCCGCAGGAGAGATTGACCAGAAAAAACAAGTTATTATCACCTGATAATCGTATCAACAACAACCGTTCTCTATAAGAAAGCGTCAAAGGGTGAGGTCGTCTCATTCAAGCAGTGCTTCACCGAAGAAGATCCGACTCGATGCGACGGCGAAGACATTACATCGAGAGTGCGAAGGAATGTGGACCCGATTATCGGCTCTGATGAAGGCGAAGATGTCGAAACATTAGCCGAATAAATATGTGGTAACAAATTCGTGTTAGCTTGTCAATGAAATATGGTCTCGTTGGAAATTTGAGTAGTTGAGAAGTTTATAGATTTATCTGTTCCATCACAACCAATAGCTCTGTAACTTTTATAAAGTATTCTCTAAATTTCAAGCTTGTTCAGAATCAAAATTTTTAAGATGTCAAGGTCGATGTTTGATTTATAGCTAACGCAGCCAAGGCATCCGTAAAACACCATGGGGTAAAACAATCAAGCCCTTTTGGAGAAAATCCCGCTTGTTCAGTTTCACTCGTGCATGAAATACCTTGAGTAGGAACATCGAAAAAAAGAACATGTTTCTTGGGCTCCTCAGAAAGCTCGGAATGAAAAAAATACGATTAAAGTAATGTAATATAGTAAATGAACGAAATTAATTGAGGAATTTTGATTAATGACTGTAATGTAATACGATTCGCCATAGTACAACATCCGTCCTAACAAACAGATTTGCATGGTACTCGAACACATCAAGTAAGCTGAAAGTGTATGTTTGCCAGAATTAACGAGAGCATATCGTGCATCAACAACAAAATCAATACTTTCGGTCATGTTGGGTTGAATTATTTTTTTACTTATTTTAGTTTATGCGACCCGTCTTCACGTCTACAGTGCGGATCTCAGCACTCCTCATATTCGATTCGTTTCCTCGCCCCATCATCCACGAAGATCTTCCAACTTTTACGTGTGGCTTCGGCTACTGCTTGACGATTTCTCACTTCATCTCGAATGTCGTTAAATGCTGATCGAGTCAGTTCTCCCTAGAGTCCTAAGATAGCCGAACTGAAGCACTCCCAGTTAGACTGTAGAGACTGATTTTTTTTCCGTGCAAGTCCGGTAGCAATTTCCTGATCTCGAAGGAATGAGTGGCTTGGGTAGTCCGGAGCGGGATCAAACCAGCACCGTTGGTCATGGTAATCGGCATTAATGCCACTGTGCTATCCGACACCTGACATGAGAACTGAGCAACATAAACTGAAATTATTTTATACGGAACGATTCAAGAAGTAAAAATAGTGCCACGACCGACTTTCTATTAACCTCGGCATTGATCAAGTGATTTTCTTCGTATTTTTGTTGAGCAAACGCGAGGTGTTACTATTCTTTGTTCACGATTAAGCTGACGTTTCGGCGGA